CTATCTATCTATCTATCTACCTACCTACCTACCTACCTACCTACCTACCTACCTACCTACATACCTTCCTATCTACCTACTTACCTACAGTATCTATCTATCTATCTATCTATCTATCTATCTATCTATCTATCTATCTATCTATCTATCTATCTATCTCTCTCTAGTCTTTATCATCTCTCTCTCTCTCTGCCCCTCTTCCTCTCTTCTGTCTGTCTGTCTATCCGTCCATCCATATCTCCCCCCTCCCCCCTTCCCTCCTTCCCTTCTCATTTCTCTCTCCCTCTTCCTATCTCTTGTCTGTCTGTCCATCCATCCACCCACCCACCCACCCAACCATCCATTTCATTTTTATTCTTTGTTGTCTCACTCCAATCCAGGAGTCATTTTGCCTTGAGGTCTTGACTTAGAGATCTTGATTTTCCTCACGATCTTCTACCTTTAGGATCTACGTGGCAGTGTTCTTCGCATCTGTGAATTCCTAGGCAAGAATTTGGATCCTGCTATGGTTGACTCAGTGGTGGAAAATGCTTCCTTTAGAGTGATGAAGAACAACAAGATGGTAAATTACACCCTGGTTCCTGAAGATTTGATGGATCAAAAGATCAGCACTTTCATCAGGAAAGGTAAAAATAAAAAGAAAAGCTTTGAGAAAATCTACAGTTCAAGGAATCTCCAAACATTGGTGCAGTAAAACACAGAGTGCCTCACCCTTTTCCTTCCCTTCCCTTGCAGGCATTTCTGGAGACTGGAAAACTCACTTTACTGAAGAGCAGAGTGCTGCTTTCCACCAGCTCTACCGGGAAAATATGAATGGTCTAGAGACCAAGTTTCCTTGGGATGAATTCCAGGTTGAAAAACATCAGGAAACGTGAGATTTTGGAGGGCAAAGGGTACTGCTGCAATCCAAAAATGCCAAACTTTACGAATCAAAATAACATATTTCATTCAAAATAGGTAGTCCTCAAATTATGACTGCAATCTGGATCAGGATTGCTGTCACTAACAGATACAATCATAAAGCACAACCTCACATGACCACATGATTTAGCAACAGCAATCCAGACCTAGTTATTGTTGTAACCCAAGATATGCAAGTTATTATGTGTAAAGCATAACAAGTCCCAGGTTAGGAGTTAGCAGGTGCCACTGGGGGTGGGGTGGTGGGAGGCCCTGAAAGACCTGATACAGCCCATATGGGTGTAGAGTGTGCATGCATCATGTGTTGGGGGCACAAGAAGGCCAAAGAAAGAGGGTGTGGGGTGCAGGCAGGTGCATATTGCATGTGTTGGTTCAGGGGGCTATGGAAAGATGGTGTGGGGAATGTGAGTGTGTGCGATCGCAGGGAAGCTGGAGAAAGGGCAGGCAATGGGGAAGTTGTGGAAAGAGGGTGTGTGTAAATGAGCAGGATGAACAAGAAGGTGAAGTCAAACATGTCATCAGTTTTGAGTCATTGCACAACCATAAGCTATCCAATCCCCCCGCCCCCCCAATAAATTCCATTGATCCTTATCTAGCACCAATTTATTTTTGACCATTAGTTGACCAGATTCTTTTGTATTGGTAGCAACAATAAACTTTTAAATGTTTTGAACTCAGCGAATGCCCTTGGTTACTTGCGCCTGACCGTATGGAGCATGCGGGAATGAAAGGGGAAGGAGGGTGCAATGTGTACGTGAGTTAAGAAAGCAGGGGAGTGGGGGAGACACACCTCCCTAAGTCATATGCAATCTTTCTCACCAGATTCCCTATTGACTTTGCTTGGTGGGAAGCCATCAGGGAAGATCCAAAAATATAGATCATGTGACTGTAGGCTGCTGCGTCCGCTAGTATGTGCGAGCTGGTTGCAGGCTCCTGAATTCACGTGACGGGGGCTGGAGCAGAGGTGGTATTTATTTATTTTATTTATTTATTTATTATTTGTCAACAAGTACAAGGAAACAAGTATGAAAACATATGAAAAATGGCACAAATAAAGGGATATAAGCAAGCAAAACATAGCCATAAACACATAAAAAGAGTACATATCAATGGGGACAGTAGGACAGGGATGGTAGGCATGCTGGTGTGCTTATGCACGCCCCCTTAGGGACCTCTTAAGAAACGCGTAAGCTCCACGGTAGACAGATTAAGGTAAAAGGGTTAGAGGAACTAGCAACACGATCATGTAGGGTGTTCCACATATTTACTACTCTATTGCTGAATTTGTTTTTCCTGCAATCAAGATTAGAACGGATTACGTTTAGTTTGTATCCATTGATAGCCCTTGTGTTATTGCAGTTGAAGTCAAAGTAGTCATTAACCAATAGGACATTATGGCAGATTATCTTGTGCACTAAGCTCAGGTTGGAATGTAGACGGCGTAGTTCAAGGTTTTCCAGGCCTAAAATTTCAAGCCTGGTGGTGTACAGAATTTTATTACGAGCAGAGAAGTTGCGTACTCTTCTTGTGAAATACCTCCGGACCCTCTCTAATGTATTTAGTGTATTCAGCAGGTTCTGACCAGTTCTGGAGAACCGGTAGCAGAAATTTTGAGTAGTTTGGAGAACCAGTAAATACCACCTCCGACTGCTCCTCCCCACATCTATTCTCTACCTCCCGAGTCCCAGCTTAAGTCCCAGTTTACCCTTAAGTTTCTAACATACTGTGAAAACAGTAGAAAAGAGAAAAGGTAGATTCTGCCCCCCCTCCCTAAACTAAGCAATCCAAAGTGGTGGCATTCCATATCTGAGTGGTGCTTCACAAGGAGCAAGAAAGAAATACACACAATAATTTGTCTAGAAAAAGAGTTACGTTTAGAGTCTTCCTTACATGCTGTTTTCGTCATGCAGATATTTTTTTTTTTTTGAAATCATGGAATAAATATAAACTAAAAGTTCTGTTTTGCTGCTCCGTGCCTCTCCCCCCCCCCCCAACTCCAATGTCTATTATATTTTTATCAATGTGATCTCGCCCTATTGTGGGTGTTACAAAAATCAATGGCAAATGAAATAGTAAGAGCTATCATAGCCGACCACCAGATGGTGATGCCGATTTAAACAATGGAAGTCTTATTTGCACAAACACGGATTGCATTTGGATTTGCTTTCAGCAGCATTGAACCATCAGGAATGAAAGTGAGGGTGTAAGGCCCAGTTATTTGGGGTCCCCAGAGCAACAGGTAATTCAATAATATCTGAATTGGGACCTCCCAAATTAGTGTTCTTATTTTTTTTTTAAAAAAAAATTGTTTTTGATCAGGAGTAGATTGCTGGCAATACCTGGTTATACATTGCATTTTTTCCTCTACAAATATGTTATCTCCTGTGACTGACAATGCTTTTATTGTCAGTAATAAGGGACCTCCTAACTGAAATGACAACATGGCGGGTGTTTTTTTTAAATTAACACCTGGAAAAGAGTCGGCTCAGACAAGACAGCTCTTCCTATTTATTCTCCTGAGCTGTGAGATAACAAAATTCCAGCTCTAACCCCAATTACGGTAGATATAATTTCTCTAGTTTGTCTTAGCAGGAACCCAATACCCGCTAGACACTTAATCCTCACTAATACAGGTAGTCCTCAACTTACGACCATGACAGCTCATAATTATGATAGTAAGTTCTGCTGGTCATTAAGCAGATTATCACGTGACCCACTTGGTTTTATGACCTTTTTCTGTGGTGTTCATCACCGCAGAACCTACTGTCTGCAATGGGCACTTTTGGGTGAAATCCTGAAGTAAATGCCAATTTCTGGCAAAAGTCTCTTTGACCCCCTCTTTCAAACCATCTGGCCCCTCTGTCCAAAATGCGGATTTCGCTGTCTTCAAAAGAGGGGCCTTTGACTTTTAAATACAGTTGGACTGCTGAACCTTGTCCTAATGGGTTTGTTCTCCTATGTTGTGCCCCATGCGCTTGTGAAGTGGTTGTTTTGTTTCCCCAATGTACAGATCTGCACGTGGCTCACTGCATTGTATTGAATGTACCACATTGCTCCGTTTGTGTCTGGGTGTTTTATCCTTTGGGTGGGCAAGCTTCTACCTTAGTGTATTCTTGGGTTTGAAGTATGCACATATGTTGTGTTGGCTGAAGATAATCCTGAGCTTTTCCAATATTCCTGCAACGTATGGAACAGTGGTGGGTTGCAGACGGTATCCCCCGGTACAGGCGTACTGGAGTCAGCCCAGAATACCGGATACTGTTCCGGTATGGTGCTCCGGAGGGCCCTCCCACCCGCCTGAGCTCCTTACCTGTGTTTAAAGCCTCCTTGTCTCATCTGCAGCTCACCCCAGTCTAAGCATACCTTTAGATGTTCCATTTTTAATGTAGTGTTTTCCACCCGCTCTCGACACGCATTAATGTAGGAATGTCCCATTCACAGTCCTGAGAATACCATCAAGGGTTGATAACACAATGAGCTTCTATTGGCCGAGGCTGTTGTGAGGACACCTGGTCAATGCTGCCTGTGACCATTTTGGCCTGGCCTGCAGAAGACACCAGATATTTGGTTTCCACTGAAGCTGCAAAACACCTGACCTCTCTAGGTGTCCAAAAGGAACCCAACTGACAGGTTGGTGGGCTAGAAGATGGCCAGATGTTTCACCCCACACTCTTGCTGCTCTGCTTTCGGATGGGGGTTGACTAATCTTCCAGAAGATGGCTAAATAAGTACTGTCATTTGTGTTCCAGACAATTGATAGTTCTGTATTCAGAAATAGCAGTAACCCGAGTGGAAGGTTGGAGAATTTGAAGAGTGGCCTAGAACTTCTACCTCAGGCGCCTGCTGAGGTGGAAGTTCTCAGGAAGTTTTACCTAGGCCTGCCTCCTCCTGTGAAAAGTGTTGATGGTGCTCTCCTCCTGGGAACTGATGCAGGGTGGATGGGAAAACAAAACCAGGGGAATCGATCAATGGCTGCCCTTAAATTGTGCTGCAGCGAAGCTGTACGGATAGATCACTTGCGCGCCTCATTACTGAGGGCGATTTAAAGCTTGGCCATCAGGGTAATGCAAATTATGCCAGCATATTTTTCTGCACATTGGAGGAATACACATTAATGAGGCTGTGAAAAAGAGCTTTCCTTTGTCTCTATCGGGATGCTGAGCCCCAAGTTTAGAATTTATTGCATTATATCACTGTGTGGAAGTTGAAGCTTTCTGACAGAATTCACAAGCCCTTTATTTTAAGAGAAGCAGCTCTGAAATCAAGACAGTCTGACAAAAAAAATAATTTTTTGGTCGGAATAAAGAGGACAATCTTTTCCATATTTTCATACCTACTGTATGCTGTGCTGAGTTCTTGGTATAAATAAGATTGCATCCTGAGATGTAACTGCAGTAGGAATTTAGGAACACTTCGCCCATTCCATAATCCATAGGGCTCCATAATCCTAGCCCTAGTATTTTATGGATAAATTTGGTTTCACTCTGATCTTTCTTTTTTCAGAGAATTCTTTTTTATTTTTCCATCTTTGTAATTTCTTTTCTCAGAAGTCGACGCACAATGATGCACATTTTTGGAGACATTTTTGCAGTCTACCCTTGTAAAAATGGGGTTTGCACACAGACACACACACACATTTACTAATATCAGGGGTGGGTTTCAACCGGTTCGCGGCGGTCCCTGCAATCCGGTTGGTCACCGAACCCGGAAGTAAGTAACTTCCGGGAACACCGAAGCCCCCCCCCCGCGCGCGCGCACGCCCACGCGCACCCGCTCCTTACCCGGTTTTGATAATTCTGCGCTTCCACGCATGCGCA